CCGTTGCTGGTGCTTATTTTGGCCTTAGAAATGTTAACATGAAGAGCGCCATACATTTCCAACAGGTTTGTTTTGACAAGTTTTTATTACGATAACTTATCTTCTTCATGTTGAAGTGTACAATGCGCAACCTTTCGAATTTTTTCCCCATAGGGAACAGTGCGCAGATCTCTCAAGGAACTTTCGACATCCTGCTTAAGTTGAGTGCCCATTTCCGCACCATTGGGCTCTCTTATCCAGTAGGGTTGACGACAGGTTCCTGAGTTGAGTGTATAACAAGTCCAGTTTCTAGCCATGTGCACTCAGCTCTACAACAAAACCAGTGCTTATACCTGCGGGGGAAATAGTGTAGGTTAGGAAATTCACGTTGCGGCGAAGCGTAGCAACTAAATGTTGTCTAGCTAGCTGATTTAGCATGTTGTAGCACTTTCCTGCTGAACCAAAATTTGGTCTGTGTGAACGCTACGCACGTGACTACAATTGACGACCTGAACTTACGACTCCTCCTTCCCCCTTGACGTCAAATACGACCCCCGCTGCGATTTCCACAACGATATGGTGCCCTGTTTCAAGCCGCCTAGTTGTATCCCTTTCCGTTTCATCGAGGTCCTGAAGAGTCTAGTCGACGAAATGGATTGACAATCGTTCAGCAGAAGCAAGTTAGGTGTCGTGGTGAAAACAACTTACAGATTTGAGCAGAAGTTGTCTTATTTGAAACAAAGAGTGTTTCCAGAATATTTGAGCTTTGGCACTTTCTTCCAGGGCACAAAAGGATCATCAGCGTGGCGGGCAGCTGTAACTATGAGTATCCTCACTATACCATCGTTTGCATTTTGGTAAGCTCGTTCTCTTGACTTTATTACTTTATTTTGATTATGGTTGGAGGAGCAGTAGTAGTAATGATCATGGAATCTGCTCATCGAATCGCTGCTATGGAAGATACCAAAGTGGCAAAAGATAGCTGTTGTATGGGGGAGTAACTCCAAGGAAACCTCCTATTAATCTCAGAGTTGAGTAGTTGGCACCCGAGTTGTACTGAGCACAGAAACCCTCATAAGCCGCCATCGGCCGCTCCCACAGAGCTGCCAGTATGATTATGAAAGGTGTTCTAGTGCTTGGCGCAGTCTGAAAAAGAATCGAGTCACGTCGAAAGCTTCTTCCTTTTGTCCTCATATAGCTGCGCTATAAGGTTCGTCGTCGCTTGGTCACTCACATCCATCACCCGCGATTATATAGTGTTCATATGAAGAAGTTATGCCCGAAAGTTATGAGAGTAGGTCGAAAAAAGGGCTCTCATACCGCGCACTGGATCACATGGAGAATTCTTTTTGTTATGTTGCTATTATTTTCGAGTGGCTGTTGCCGTTATCAAACGATAGGACTTGTGATGCGACGCGGATTGCAGCGCAGTTAGGGTGCCCTTTTTCCACCAATCATGTCATTGAGCATGGTACGCTGACGGGAAGTCTGACCTGGCGGCGGTCCAAGCTTTGCTATTTTAGAAGAAGGAGTCAGCCAGTCGTCGTCGAATAGGATTAGAATCTGCATTTATGCACAGCACACCGAGCAATGTGCATACACTCCATATCCCTGGTATGGAGAGGGCGTGACAGCATACTCCATTAAAGTATAGTCCAAGATGCGTTCTCGTGGTAATATTTCGAGTCGGACCGCTAGACGTCCTGCTTTGTGTTGGACAAAGACACGAAGACACATTACGATTGTCTCAAGGTGGCAATACTTCCCAAAAGCGAAGCCGCCGCCGCGTTTGCGCACGCTCCCCTTTCTACAGACCAGATGCATTGAAATCTGGAATGAAGGTAGAATGCGAGCAGCACCCAAAGAGATCAATCATCAGGGAAATCTTTATACTCCGTGATACGTGTGGCTTTCAAATGGTGGTCTTTGGCTCGAAGTGACAGGTGTCCCACCCTTCAGATTATGATCAGTTTTGGTTGACTTCTTGTCCTTCGTAAGGATGTTGTGAGGTGTAACTGTTGCTTATGATTGTTTTAGGTGTCTGCTCATGCGTGGCCCAGCAGCACTCGCCTATCAGCTGGGTTTCTCATTGGCAATAGTGGTGGTGTTCTTGTCTGTTGCTGGAATTCTTCACTATGTGCCGTCACCAAGTATTTTCGCCTATACCCAACTGCGCTTCTTTTCTTCCAGCGGTAAGTAGTGTCTCAAGAGTTCTGCACATGGAAGGAAGACGCCGCTCGAAAGATCACAAGCATATCGCGCTAATTTCAACCAATGCTTCTGTTCTCAGTCTTGACTAATATTTAGAAAGCCATGTAGTAAATTATCAACAGACTTTTCCTATTTTCGAGAGAGTGGAGATGGAACACGTGACCCAATGCATTGCAGCGCAGCTAGGGCGCTTTTTTCCACCAATGTTTCGATCCTAACCACGATACGGCTGGGGATACGTTTAACGCACGCCAACATTTTATCAGGTAGCTCTCATTCTCCCTTATAGGAGGTCTACAAGTAAGCTGCCCGTGTCAAAAAAAGTTTTATCCCTGTCACTGTGGTACAAGAAAATGAAACGCTAGGGACCCGTGCAGTGAGGCGGTAACGAATTATGGAAGAGAAACTGTCAAGAACCTGGGGCATCCTCTATTTATAGTAGGAGTTCGAGGGGCAGGCTTCACAGGAGCTCACGGGAGCTAGTTCTTCAACGCGCCTAGGAGAAATTTTGGAAAACTGTGGTACGCCTCTTTTTTTCATCACGTTTGCCCATGTTGGTACAGTGTTGATCGTAGCGAATGATAGGGCGCTGTCGCGGGGGTGGGGGTTGGAATTGAATTTGGTGCTGGATCAGCTCCCTCAGCTCCTTTTCTACCAATTCGGTCGCTTGCCAGCCCACATAATTGGTGAAGAACGGGTTGCCCCCATCTTCCGTGCTCTTGTGACACGCCCCAGCGACTTGCAGTGAACAAGACTGTTTTTCAAATGCAAAGCTCTTCTCATGGAAGACAAGAATTCAGAAACTCGGATCTGTAGGCCCATACATACAATTCGAGCACATTAAACTTACCTTCAAACAGATGTGTTCTACTAAAATTAGTCGTTTCAGTGCGATTGGCACTATCAGTGCTTCAGACGGTCGTGACGGTACTATGTATCACGCTGGTACTTTTGCACTCCTCGTCCTTACTCTCTTCCGTGTCTTTATTCTCCGTCTGTCTTTCCATTGCCATGACAGCGTTCTTTCCACTGTTTGGTATAGTGTTCGCCGGTTATTCCAGTATTATGACATCTACACTCATCCTGAACATGTTTGTGAGTTTATTCACCGAGTTATACCATTTTGGCTTAACCTATGTAGGGTTATCAGTGAGGACAGGCATATTCTCACATCGTAGTTTCTGGTATCGCATAAAATACTGCTCTTTAAGATGAAGGGGCATTCCGGTGCAAAACATCCGATGCCCTGAAAACCACTATGAACAATTCCTGTTTCCATAGAAATTTGGGAAAAGCAGTACCCTTCTACCTTTGTCAAGAGGTAACCTCCTTTTCCCACAAAAGGTTCAGTTCATCTGCACCAGCTCCTCACCACCACGTGTGGCCGAAATCTCATCC